AGCAATGCCCCTGAAGGCCACTAGAGATTCCTGGATCACAACAGCCACCCCTCCTCCCCTGTCCTGGCATCTCGGCTGGTGCCACACCGTGAACCCAGCAAGGCACATTTTTGAGAGGGGCACCCCCCGTCGGGCCCCAGCCAGGTCTCAGTAATGCATGCCAGGTCTGCTCCCTCCTCAGTGATCAAGTCACATATGGGGGGGCCTTGTTGTTAACCGACCTGGCATTAAGCAGCAAAATGATTTGCGTTGTCCAAGAACTGACGTGGCTTTAGCTTTTCTTGTGGGTTTCTCAGGAGCATCTCTTCACCATCTGGAATTAGAAACAGGAAATGAGACTGGATCAGATCTGGTGCCGAAGGGCAATCCTCCTCTTGATCAGAGAGCGTTCAATCTTTCCACCCCTTAGTTTGTGTATTAGTTTCCAGATTCCTGAGTTTGTGCCAGAAAAGTCAAGTTCATTCCTTGTTATGCATGCTCTAAAATTATGAAAAAAAAATACCTTGCTCTCCATGAGTTCCCAGGGTACAGACACATTCAATCTATGAGCCACATCCTCTGTTTGTCTTTGTTTTCCCAGGACTCGGAGGTCACCTACAGCGTCATTCAGGTCTCCTCCACTCAACCTGCTCCCGGACCAACAAGGAAGGACCGTCTCCCACCAAAGGAAGAGGAGATGGTGTTGTACAGTGACGTTCTCTTCCAACCCATCAAAGGAAGAGCAAGAAAACATACAGTAGACTGACTGCATCAAAGTTCAGTTTCATTTCGATTGTTCTTTCCCTGACATATGACTCTTACAGACAACTTTTCTAATCTCTTCATTTTTGTAAACAGGTTTTAGGTCTTTGCACCTTTCAGAGAAGTGCCTTGTTCAAAGAATAAATATGCAGTTTATCCAAGCAAGTGTGACTAAAACTACTTACTGAAAAAATGCCGAGAAAATATTCCCCCTCCCATCCTGAAATGCACCTCCCAAATGCTTTGCTCAGGAGCAACCGAATTCAGCCTTTTGAAGACTGCAGCCTTTTTTCATCTCTTCAGAGAATTTGGGTAGTTTTGTTATTTAACAAGTTCACATCATTGTCACATTTTCCATATTTTGGAAAAATTGTGGTGGGACAAATGAAAAAAAATTCCTCTTCTCCAAACATAATTTTGATTTAAAAATGCTCATTTTGAACCCAGCATCAAGCGGATTCTACGCTGAGATATTTAATCTCTCCCAGGCAAGTCTCGGCTTTAGAGGAAATCTAACTGCCAAATCCAAAGTGGAAAGTAATGTTACTCTGCAGTATTTATTCTTTAAGTGGGGGTGGGCAAGTGGGGTAGTTTTTCAGTACAGAAGCTTGCCCAATGTGGGGGGTGCAGATTCCCATCACGGTTGTTGAAGGCCCTTTTCATGTCACCTTTCTTTTCATTTCCCAAATTAAAACCAACCTGACTTTGTTTTCATGTGGAGTCCTTGGGGTTCTCCGAGCTTGGTTGTTTTCTTGCAAATGTTTTGTTACCCAGCTTGGTAACATCTTCCGTGCTAGAATGGGATGGGGTTTGCTCTCTGTTTCTATACTGTGGCATGCCCTGCCCGTGTTGGTGGGGGTGGGGGTTTGGTTTTGCTCCTCTGGCAGTTCCTTGATCAGGGTATTGTTCACTGCTTGACTGTGTGCCTGGTGGTAACCTCTGCTTATCTGGGTGACGACTGCTGGTGAGGAGATGTTCTGGACTTGTGTTTTCTCTTCTATTGTCTCTTTTGAAGAGTGGGTGGATGCTGTTTATCTCTATGTGCCTGTGGATGGCTGCCTTGTCTGA